ACATTTATATATAATATTGCATAAGTAGATTAAATATCTAAAAAAAAAATATCTGTAAATGGAAAATTTCTCAATTAAACTTTTCCAATAAGGTTGTTCTGAATCCAAAAATGATGTCTAATATCTTCTGTCAGTCTTAAATGTATTGCTTTCTTTGTCAGATCTTTCCGTCTTCCCAGCATTCATCCGTCTTCTTCTGCTTACAGAGACTGTTCCTAGGCAACAGTTCATGCCCAAATATGCAAGCTAATATTCCCATTCAAACAACGCGCAATTCGCAGGTTATTAAAGGCAATTAAAGATTTAAAAGTGCCAAGAAATATTTCTGTGACGCACAACTCGACCGACTGCTGATTCTGCTCAAGTGTAACTTTGCACAAGTACAAGCAGAAAAGAAAAAACACAATAAAAAATCTGAGATGTCAAAGAGCAACTACAGAAACTACAGGGTTTCTTTTAAGCACCCAGACAGGAAGGACAAAACTATTTTCACTATTAATTCAACTATTTATTTTGTCATCTTGAATTTCACATCTTGACAGAACCGTCCGCATGTCTTTTTGAGAAACCACGAGAAAGCGTTTTGTTATGGCAGTGCAATTACATCCCTGTTAAGCTGTGGGATGTTTTAAAATATTTACTATCCACATTTCCCCTTTTTAGCCGCTGTATGACAGAGCTAATATAAGCACACATCCTGGAATGTTTACTTTGGGGGCAGAATTGCCTTTCTATGCTAATCATGTAATAACTAGCTGGTAATACTTCAGAAGCAATCCTCGCTCACAATCAGTTTGAAAGAAAAAGGCCTTGCACAAACACGCTGGGCTGCAGATTCACACGCAAGCAAACATTTAAAACCAGGCCTTTTCGAAACCGCACACGGAAAGGTGCGCATGCACAAACACACACAAAAATGTGCTCAAGCCCCAAACCGCTGCTGCAACCCCCAACCACACACACGCCGACAGGCTGTAACTGCTTTTGAGAGCCTGAGTGTTGGGAGCGAAGAGAGAGAGGAAGAGAGAGAGAGCGGCGGCCCAAAAACACCTTATCTGCCTGTTTGAGTCTCCGGTCTGACCGCAGAGCCACGGTTTACAGTCTCCACAGGCAGCCAGACTCTCAGCATCGGCGCCCCTGCCCCTCCTGCCTCCTACCCCTCCTTCCCCTCCACCCTCCTTCTCCGCCTCTAACAGAGCCTCTGAATAGCCAGTGGCTGGGGATTGAGAGAGCGAAGCAGGGGAGGGACGGATGGAGATGGGAAGAGAAGGGAGGGAGGCAACCTTCCTGTCTGTCTCTCAGATTTAATTAACGGCCCACTCCGGCACAGAGACGACCCGGCAAGCCTGCTTCCCTTTCCTCCTGACCCACACACACACACACACGCACAAACACACACACGGAGCAGTCCACCGCCATAGTTGCTGCTTACCCTCCCTTGATACCACTACCGCACTCATTCATCTCATTTTCTTCTGGCTCCCTATTTCCAAATGTTTCCTCCATCACAGCATCTCCGTCTCTCGCTGCTGCAGACTTTTTCTTCACCTCCTCCTGGCTGTCTCTCTCCCTTCTTTCCCTCCACTGTTCACTGGTACACATTAAACACCTCTGGAGGAGCCGAACAGCAGAGGTGACTGACGCAACAGCGTAAACACATAAACACAAGCATTTATGCTGCGCCAATCCCAAAGCCAAATAATCCACTGCTTTAAAACTTCACGTACATTTCACCCACCTAAGTATGTGGACGCAAATTCGAACTTGAGTTGATATTGCGTAGGCACGCAGATGTATAACTACATGTTATTTGTGTGTAATTGTGTGTTTGAGAACGAGTGTGTGTCTAATTTCACTGGCAGACAGAATTAGAGCCAGTGGCTGATCGGATTGGACTTGTTTACAGACACGAAGCGAGCCGCTTAGGCAGCCTGTTAAATCTCCCTTTAATGCTCAACCGGACAGATTTTAGGGTCTTGGACCCCCTATGTGTAGGCCACACTGTGCGCACACCATCCCCCATTGCTGCCCCACACCCACCTCCATCTCTCTTGTCTTCCCCCATTAGGAAAATCATTCATGGCTCTGATTTCTCCATTAAGTTTAACAGCTGATTAAACTGGTGTATTGGTGGAAATCTGTCCCAAACAGGGACCCAAAGACACCGGCTGAGCTGGCTGTTTAGCAATCTAATACTCTCCCCACCTTGCACCCACTCTACCTCATATCGCAGGCACCGTATGGACAATTAATCTGGCAGACAGAGTATATGAGCACACGGAGAGACAGTATGGAAGTGTTGGGTCTGGGGTGATTATGCCACTTGCTGTGCCTCCTAATGGGATAAGAAGGGACAGGGGTTGAACTCCGGGTAACAGCAAAGCAAAGGTATGGTCTTTACTGATAAAAAGGCACCCAATTATTTAATTGGGTAACTGCATTTATTTAAAAGTGTTTGGATTATCTGATAGAAGTTTATAATCCAGGGTTATTTATGTGTCATGATCAATATTTTCACCTGCAGGCAAAAAATCAAAAAAAAGAAAAAAAATGAGCAGGGATAAGAAAAAATAAAAACTCTTGAGATTAATTAGTTCAACATGAAACGCCGACTGTTTTATGTCTTCAACAACCCTAAAATTATAGTTAGTGAACTTCTTATATTACTGTGATAATGTGAAGATTTTGCAAGTGTACCATCAAAAACTACACAAACATACTTGTACGCCACTAAAGTTAAGTGCAACTTACAAAATGTGAGCGAGACATACAGTACAATGGACTTGTTTCTAAACAGTGACTTACACAGAGGCTTTCCGAACAGCCATATGTCTTTGATGGCTGCACAATATCCTCATACAGTCTACTTGACAAATAGCTGTGATTAAATGTGGTCTGTGTTCTGTGTTTAAGCTGGAAGCAAAGCTCTTAGCTTAGCACACGCACACCATGGTTCCTCTGCTCACATGAAACTGGATTAATGGCAAACAAAGCTATTTATTCAGAGGTAATTTAAAACAGGGGGTTTAGCCAAAAAAAAAAAAAAAAATCCTGGAGTGCGGCAGAGAATGTGGGAAGAACATTAAGTAATCAACATGAGCGACCTTTAGGAATTACTAATACGCTTATGTTAAATTCCCTCAATCACATAAATTACAGTAAATTAAATGGTTAATGGAACGTTTACATGTGTTATAGGAGGCGTAAAGGGGCATGCATCATCTGCCTACGTGCAAAGGAAGAAAGAGAAAGACAAATGTAAGAAAGAGAAAGAAAGAAGCCACCTTACATTTTGCATACATTACACATGCGTACTGTTAAAACACACACACACACACACACACACAGGCATCATCATGATCCTACCTGTGTGTCCAGTACTGGTGCCGTGGTCAGAGGCGGACTGGCCTTCGGGCATGCCGTGCTGTCTGGTGTGGTGCAGGTTGGAGATAATTGTAGAGAGGTCAGTGTCACGACTGCAACACACAAAATACACACGCAAACACACATAGAGGAAAGAGAGCACAATTAAAAGTGCACCAAATCAGTGTGTAAGCAGCAGCATATAAATTCACACTGTTTCACAAAAGACTTACCACCGAAATCCTCCATACAGACAGACCCGCGCTCTATAAAATGCACATCTTCACACAGACTCAGCAGCAACAAGTGGCTGTCCTGTCAACTGGCTCTTAGCTCTGAGGTGTGTAATACACTCTGACAGACTACCGCATCCAGCACTTTCAGGTCTCATCCCTACTCATCTTCCACACTAAGATGTATTAATGAACATATTCACAACCCATAAGCAGTTTAACAGCTTAAAACCCGCTCTAATAATATGCAAAGACAGGTAAAGAATAGTTAAGATAAATAAACGATTCGATCGCGCTTGGAAGTGGTTTTATTTATTAAGAATGTATAAAATCCTCAAGTATAAGCCACCGTTGATTGCGCTAACAATTAAAAAAAGGAGCTGCAAGTCTTCTCTAGTCTTGTGCCTACGCTAATGTTAAGTTCCTCACATGATAAGATAAAAAAAAAAAAAAATAGAAAGAAAGAAAATTATTATTCACAAGAATTTCTCAAACACCCTGTCCTGCCCTTCAGCACCCAGAGGAGGAGCAGGAGGAGGGTTAACAGATTAGACCCAGATTTGGTTGGAGCCGCTCTGTCCTTTCAAATTCTCCACCAGCTGCCTTTCTAAACTCCCCACACCAGCGGACCCACACAACTGTGTCATGGAGGCATTTCATTTGCAATCTGATTACCATCCTGATCGCATTAAATGGCATAATGATGGGAAATAGGCGCTTAGCGTTTGAGGGTAGCATGGCCGCGCGGTGTGTGGAGTGTAGTCAGTGTAATGGCAAACAGCTTGTGCGGCAGGAGAGGTACAGGGCTGAATGTGTTTTTTTTAGTTACAGTCTACATATCTTCTGTCATAGTTATGCGATATACCTGCTGCACACAGCTGTCCCAAAGCCCACGAGGATTTAGAGATTTTTGCACATACATGCTGTGTTGTTTTCACAGTAACCCTAACACGTCATTTCACAGCATCAGCAACCTCTCGTGTGAGCAGCAATCTCATTTACAGCCTTAACTGGCAACTTTATTGAAAGCAGAAACATCTATGAAGGGGGTCTGGTATGACACGGCAAGCACAGTTTATGGGACAGAGGCGGTGAATGGTTCTTAGCTGCCACCACTATGACGAGGCCACACTGTTTGCGGCTGCTGGATTTGGGTTTTTACAGTCCCATGATTACAGGCTCCTTCTGTAATGTCAGGCTGTCGGTCGCCAAGCTGTTTTCCACACGCTAACAGAAAAGATGAAGGGTAGTGCTGAGGACCTCATGCTGGCCCTGCTGGCCTCACCAGTCACCTCTCAGGCACAGAGAACCAATGACTCAGAAAATAGTCGCAGACAAAACAGTCACCATCGGTTGCTAAGCAAGGAGACGCTTGATTGGTCTGTGACTGCAAACTTTTTACACTAATGACAGACTTCTTTTTTAGAGTGCAACTTACTAAAATTGGTAGCTCTAAGCGTCTGAGAGGGCAATGATTTTCTTCAAAAACGAAAATGAGGTCCAAAGGAGGTTTTTTAAAGGTCATTATTGTGCGTTTGTGTCACCCACTCACTCCAAACTATGCCGTCCGTACGCAATGCAGTTAGATGCTCTACTGTGGGAAGCTGCGGCCAAATCCATCAATCAGTTAGCTGCATTATAACACCACCCTCTGTCCATCATTTAAAGTGATAGTGATAATGCCATCGTGAACTTCTCAGAGAGGTGACGGGGTTATTATCTCATGGTGAAGTGGCCGCTCAAAGCCGTGAACGGCAAGGACATTGTTAGTTGGGTAATTAGCGCA